CAAGTACAACAAAAATTCACGCTCATAACCTACAAAAAATTGTAGAAGCAAGGGGTGAGTACCAAACCACACGGTACTCAGCAAGTAAACCTCTAAACACAAGCTAAGGGGATGAAATACGAGTATTCCTACCAACCCCAACCGAACCTCCACAACTATAACTTGCATTGAAATCAACCCAACCTAACAACTCACAGTTTACATAGCACGTATCTCAACAACAACACTTAGACAAATTACATATCCTCAACAAAAACACTTCAACAAACTATATATCCGCAATAACAAGCTCAATATTGATCAATCACAAGTTCCATAGAAAGACAATCAGAAGATCAGCAAAACACGATATCAAGTTCACTAATGATAAGTATGTGCAATGCAATGGAATGCAATGTCAATTATAATGATGCATGCCTGACCTAGTGATACACACCCGCTGTCTCTCAGTCCGGGACCCATGGGGACATATCTGTCCATGCATCTGTCGCGGCGCACGACACGACCCCTCGATAATAGTAACCATCGTGGCGCGCGATACGTCCCTCGAAATATAGTATCCATCGCGGCGGGCGATACGTCCCTCGAAATGATACATCCTTTTTAAATTCTCATTATTTCTCAATGCACATAACACTTGTCACAACCATGTCTTAAAATAATGCAAATGACATGTCCACACAAATAAAGAGGATATGACCATTTTCATAACACAACACAATTCACAACAACATCAACAATGATTCAAGAAGCCTTTCAAATCACTCTCCATTATCAACACATCACGCACAAATAATTATTTACATTACCTTTTATTACCCTCTTTTTTCATCATTAGAATTAATCAGTGTGGACAAATCAACTCAGTACCAAGTCCCGTTACTCCCAAGCATATACCACAAGAAAATACACGTATTTCATACACTTAACAATAGTTTAGAAATCACTTGCCTCAATCAATCAAGAACTCACTCTGGGACTTGAGTCTTTCCCTTTCGTTGAACTTCCAACTCAAAGCAATCTATTCACATTAATAATCACAATAAGATTTTAAAACTAACAACAACCAACTCTATAATCAAGTTCCCAAGTTTCAAGCCTAGGATTAAGTTCCCAAATTATTTTCAATAGCATAATTCCAATGGTATTCACATAATACCCTACATCTAATGCTTAATATGTATCTTAATGTATCCAACTTTAATTTTTTTTATATATATATACATTAACTAAATTATAATTATTAAAATATGACGCCACTGGTTACGAAACCAGTGACAGACGAACAAAGGAGGAAAACATATCCTATGCTGAGAGTAATACTATATATAATTAATTAAAAGCTATTTAACATGGCCAATCATTACGCCTCCAACATACAATTATTATGCCATACTTTCCCACTAATATTTTCTCTCCAAAGACACTGCTAACAACCATTTTTCCACAACTTGTTTCTATAATAATAATATAATATGAGCATATCTAAAATTGCCAATATAAGGATATAGATAAAATTTTCAAGTCTTGATTCCAATCAATAAATTAAATCTCATATTTCCTAAATTTCAAATCTAAAATTAAATCGTAACTTTTCAAACACTACAACCCCAATAATATAATATGCTTGTTACTTAATAACTTACACTAATATATCAAAAATATGAATCATAATTGGATAACTAAAAACAGTTTGTGAAACCAAAAATTAGGTTATAGCTACTTAACCTGAACAATGAACCACTGTATAAAAATATAAAGCAAAATAATCAATCCGTCATAATGATAACTTTACAACATGTGGCGATCATTACTATGGCCACCAAGATCTTTATGTCCACGTATAGGTACCAAATTTGGTTTTGCATCATTCAAATTCTCAACTTTCTTTCCTAACCCATTATAATAATAAACTAATAATAATAATATAACCTCTATAATTCAATTTAGTGTTTCAAATGTTCTTAATTACCCGATGCAATTTAGCCGCCACTTTGATTGTGTGGGAGTTGTGACGTTCTCCTCGGAAAGTTATCCCTTTTCCTTTTTCCGTCAATATCTATTTCAAGTTTCAATATTAGGGTTTTTGGCCCTTATTTCTTTTTTTTTTAAATAAAATAATTAGGTATTTAAAGTGATAAATTTTATTAACTAAAATTAATTATATGAAACAAATTGTATATGATTTTAATAAATGATCACTTTAATCCTTTAACTATCGATTAATTCAATTATCCACAATTACACATCAACTAATTAACTAAAGTCAATGAATAGTTCGAAATTATCAAAAATGAACTAGTGGGTCATTACAATAGCCAAAGGAAATAGGCTGCTCTAAAATTATCCAGAGGGCTCCTAATGTGGCTATTAAGCAGAGAAGGAAGAGAGAATAAATAATCCCCTCAATTAACTTAGGGAAGTCACATCCCATTCCATTTTAAGCACTATATATGATCTTATTGGTTTACCCTAGTTTCTTTTGAAGCTTATCGTACCATCGCCCCTCCAACCATAAAAAAGGTATAGATATGAAAACTTACATGCCATTTGGATTGTAGAATTATGGAGGAAATCGGGTTTTAAATTCCCAAAAATCGCACAATTATATAGTCAAAAGAAATAGGCCGCCCTAAAATGAGGAGCCGCTAATGTGGCTACTAAGCGGAGATAGAAGGGTGAATAAATATATCCCCTCAACTAAGTAAATAGACAACAAATAGTAATCAAATAAATATGTAGAGTTATGAAAAAGAAGGTTATAAGATTTCATAAATTGAAAGCTATGTTTAGTCTGCGCTTCATTTTTGTAAATCTAAAGCTAGAGTTTAGTCTACACTCCTTTTTTGTAACCGTAATATAGAGGTAAAAATAAAAACAATATGTATAATAGACTGGTATCTGGACACGTGTGTTGCACATGTATCTCATAAAAGTATTACAAATGATATGAATCATATTAAACGGTAGTGTAATGAGCAATAACATGAAAAACATACAAACTGAAAAATATCTTGAATAATTTTTGGCTCGAGTACATTTGGACATATGAAACAGTTTCCGATTGATGTTGCAGAAAACCATTGGAATTAAATGAATTTACACAGTAATGCTTAGTTGAATTAACGAGAAACTACACCATGAATCTCAATTGCAGATCTTAAGGAAAATGAAACCAATATATAGCTACAAAAATCATATATTATTATAAGTGGGAAGCTCCTAACTTAAAAGTTGAATTACTATTTTTCCCTTATTTTATTCCTAAATTAAATTAAATATTTAATATATAATTAATTTAATATTAAATAATCATATTTAAATACATGCATCTAGACACAATGGTTTAAATTCTAATTATTTACATACTAAGTAATAATTATATTATATTATACTAAATACTAAAAATAAGAAGGTGTAAAGTCAAACTTTGAAAGACAAAAATATTTTATAGAAAATTGTTAGAAATTATTTCATAAGAAATTGTTAAAAATTACTTTTTTTAAAAAATAAAAGTTATCTATTCTTTCTCTATAATTAATGTGGTTAAATTATTAAATTTGTTATCCTCTCTCTTTAGTTAGTATAATTAATGTATTGAATTATTAGTAAAAACAATCACCTTTCCTCTATTCCATGTCTAAGATCACTTAACTTGTGAAAATTAACTTAAACAACTCTTCACCTTTTCATCTTATCCAATGAATCTTTAGCTATATATGTATCATGAAAAAATATTTTTTCTTTACCACTTGCCTCGTGTTGATAATCATTAGGCAATTTTCAGGTACTCTTTTTTTTTGTTTTGAAATATTAATATTTGTTGATCCTCATTAGAATGATATTTTGCATCATAAATTTTATCTTTACCATTTTAGATTGTTTTTTTTTGTTACGGGAGAAAAAAAAAACTCTACTACTTGTGAATTTCTTTTTACTATATATATTGTTATAATAAAAGTCTTGAGAAGGATAGAATGTTGTATTTATTCTTATCTGTTTAATTTTTTTGTATTCTTTATCAATTATAGTTCTTTAGTATAATCTTCTATGAAATTATGAATGTTATAAGTCTATTTTTATTAGTGCTGAAATTAATAATTTATGACATTTAAATTCGTTTTTAAATGTACTTTTATAATATATATTTACTTTTATCTTTCCTTACTAATATAGTTTCTTTAAGTAGCTACATATTTGTGTATTTAGTCATATAGATATATTCATATTATTAGATGCTATAGTAATATAATTATTTTTTCATATTTCTTGCTTGATGGTCAATGTACTATTCGATTATTATAAATTTTATTAATGAATAAAATATAAATTGATAAAATTAATATCTCTAATTTCAACATTTTCTATATAATAATTCAACTTTATAATAATTGTATTGGACAAACGTGCAACGCACATTTCGAAAACTAGTAATGACTATAAAAGGGATCAGACATGAAATAAGATATAATCAAGTTTGTATTTTGTTGATATAATTTTTGTCAAAAACTCTGTATAATCACAAGAAGTTTTTCTCAAGCAAACTTCAACTGATCAAGCTAACAAATATCTCATGCTTTGTCCCTGAGTGAAGTGATGCAATCACGGCAAAAACTCTCGAAGAAGAGGCATTAGCATTTCTGGCTTATGAAGTCAGTGGTGAATCTAAGGTAGAGTGCGCTTTGCTCGTTGATTCGTTTAAGCATGTTATTGGAATTGGAATCAATTGTAGCCCTACAAGAGGGATGATCCCAATTGATCCGTAAGCTAAGGTCTTTGGTTTGCTTTCAAAATAATACTTAAGAGAAATGTTTCGTGATGTACCACGATTCAACTTTAAATACTGAAGACTTAATTGGTAACAAGTTAACCATCCACAGACAGTGAAAGTTCAAACTAACCAACCAATACTAGAAAAGCAAAAAATAAAATACCACAAATTCTGCGATAGATCTGCACTGCAGATTCAATATGTAGGTTCAAATATGAAATCATTTCACTTAACACGCACTTGAATCAGTCTTAGAGTACTTGATTTCTGCACTTGGTGATGCTCGATGGTAGCATTTCAACTCCTTCAAAATTTCATCAGACCTCTCAAATTTTTGCATTTTCTGTTGAACGATCATCCTCTCAAGCTTCGAAGAATGAGCTAGGATGACTTGTACCAAGTACATTTCAGTAACTGTACCCTTGAATTTACCTATCCTCACTGTTCGAATCAGCTTCAGAGCTTCACTCACTTTTTTTTCTGCTTTAGACAAGTAATCAAACAGTTCTATTGTGTGATACACTGTTTTATCAACCTAAACAAATGTGGCGCACAAGTTAAGTGTATACATGTACAAGTATTTAATATACGAGAAATTCCCAAGGGTTATTGTCGCACAACTGAAAACAGATAACGTTAAAACCCCGGAGCTGTCTATATAGAGAATTGAACTTGTAGTAGTCGAGGTACGTCTTACCTTTACAACTTCATCTATGTCAAGTTCAACAAGGTTAGGAGAATTCCGCAGTAGGCAAAGTGCACACATAATACGTTTAACAGAAATCTTCAAATCACAAATCTTCAGGCTTTGCAAGTTTAGAGATACGTCAAGCCTATCTGACGGACAAACCGACCCTAATTTCTGTAAGAGCAATAAATGATTAATCACTATATCAAAAATTAAAACAAAGCAAATTGAAAACAAAACAGAACGCGATATTCTCACCTTTAAGGATGATCCATCCAAACAGAGGTGCTTAATCTTTCTAAATATCGGGTTCACATTAAAACACTGAAATGTTATTGCATAGGTACTAAGCACAGACAAGTTCACAAGCTTCAGAGAAACAATACGAACATAATCAACATCATCACAATATTTCAACTCCAACGTCTCAAGCATTGGCAGAATAAGAGTAGTCTGTTTTGGCCTGTCAATTTCAACTTCTTCTAACTGAAGACCAACAAGTTTAGGAAATCGGTTACTATCAGGAAACTTAACAATACACCTCGATAACTTCAAATGTGTCAACGCTGCACAAGTAAATACGCTAACAGGCAACGTATATAATTCATCATTTGCCATATCAAGAGTGAGCTTCTGAATAACATGATTTGCTACTAACACGATGCATCGATCCACATACGACTGAGATAGTTTGCGTGTCTCAGAGACGAGATGAAATCCCAAAATAGGTCCAGTATGTTGCATTAGAATCTTACGGATTATTCCACCAGCGTAATTAGATACATGCTGGAAAAACATATGATCAAACAACAGATGTGGCAGTGTGTACCATAACTGACTCCATTGCTTTGATAAGATGCTCGTTCTCGCAGCATATTTAATCGGCATAAGTTCTAGTATTCTATGCTGTATATCAATTGGTAAGTCACAAATAATAGACTTACTTTGATCACTTGATACCATTCTTCTACCACATCGACTCATATTTGATTTTTTTTCACTCAAATATTTTTTCCATGTATTTGATTAAAGATGAATTTAGAGGTCTATAAATAGTTGTATTACTAGTAGGAGTAACAAATAGACACTTTTCTTTGAGTTATTCAAAAGACATTTTGTTGATCTTCCCAAAATCTTTTAATTCCCGCAAGACTTAATAAAAATCAAAGTGAATTTAGTACTTAGATAACTGCATTCACAGAATCCATCTCAATAAGCAAAATGACTATTTATTTACCGGTGTTAACCGATAGAATTTCAAAATCAATTTACTAAGAGAGGTTTTACTTTTTTTAAAGAAAAATAATTAATTGAGGATATTATATGTAAAACAAAAAATGGGAAAGAGGGAGTAATTAACTCGAGCATTAATTTGCTTTTTTTTAAAAAAAATCATTTGATATATATTAGTCCCTCCTATTCATATTACTTGACCTTTATACAAAAAAAAAAAGAAGTTGTTTCAGTTTACTTGTTAAATTTATTGAATCGAGAAAATATTATTGCATTTGTCTCTAATTAATTGTCTATTTTGATAAATCAAGAAAAAATAATTTATTTTTATCTACTATGCTCTCAATTAATTACTTCGAAAAAGGTAAAACTTCTAAAAAAAATCTTTGAAGTTTACACATAAAGAGCACTCGTGACAAATTCACTGTTCCTTATGCATTATACATCTTGACCATCTTAATTTCCAGATCTTCTTGCTCCGTTGTTGTCCATCTACATTCAAAAATTAGATGCCGCTAGGATTCCACTTTGTTATCATCACACATACAACATGTTGTATCGTCAACTGGAATATGTAGCTTGTTCATTCTGAACTCTTTTGTTAACCAATACACATCCGCGATATTGACAAATTGATATTTTTCATGTCAAGGAATGAGCTTGAGCAACTCGTGCTTGAACTTTCAAAGGGAGAAAAGTACAAACTGCCTTCTTCAGTTTTCACATGTTCGAAGATGAGGCATTCAACTCTTCCACTATTGTACTGTCAATCCTCCACCTACCTTTCAAGCATTTAATAAGCTTATTCGCTTGCAATTGCTTAACGTTGCTATTTCTGACAAATCTCTTGAGAATTTAATCTCTCGTTGCCCAATGCTTGATGACATTGAGCTGGATATCGCAGACCCTTTGAACTATATTGAAATTAATATTGTTCATGAAATTAATATTGTTCATGTTCGTTGACATTAAATTCTTTGTGTCCTGATTTCATATTGTTTGCCTTGGAAGATACCGATCACAGGAATAATAGATGGAATCCCGGAGAAGCTTCCCATGCCTCTTGTCAATCTTAGAAAAATTTACCTATTTGATATTTGTCTTAATGATCTACATGAAATCCGCTGTCTTCTGTGCTCGATAAAAAGCTCTCCATATTTGGAAGAAATAATTGTCATTATTAATCAGGTAATTTTAACAACTTCTTATCTCCTTTTCCTTTTCAATTAAATGTTTGTTTTCTCATTTTGTTATCTTTCCTCAGGCAATTAATAAAGAAGGAGGAGATGATCTGATAAAATCTATTAACAACTTCTCTAAACTTCCATTAACAACCATTAGAGGAAGCTTCAACAAGAAGGAAAAGAGAGAAGAAGTTTATTGAGTAAAAATGAAAATACAAACTGAATGAATTGTATTGTTACTTGATGTAGTACATACATTGTTTTCCTAACTAACTTCCTAACAAACTTCTAACTAACTACACTTAACAACTTTAACTAACTTGATTAAATTAGTAATGACTAATTTGCCCTTGTGTCATGTAATGCCTATTTCTTCATGATCTTCGTGTAATTTTGCAATCTCTCAGTCCCAAAATTACATGACACTATGGATTTTAAGGGTCACCCCTCAGACCAGAGTTGACACCTTAATTAGTCCTTTATGGACATTAACATACTGAATCTATGTTAGACAATGATCGTCCAAGGTCCAGAGCGTCCTCCCATGGTTGGGGTGCATGTTGGACTTCGTTTAGCTAGGACTAAGTATGTCGGTTATTAGTATCTCTCATAGTTCAGCCTCAGATACTGCATGACCTTATATTTAGTTTAAATAGTTCATTGTTGATTAGTTACAGTAAAAATGAGTGGAAGAAGATACTCTCATTATGATTAGCTATACATGACATAGAATTACAAAGATATGAAAAGAAATTTACAATCCCAAAGAATATGCTACAATAATCACAAATAATATGCTATACAATCCCACAAGATATCCTAATTGATTGAGAACAAATCTACTCATTAAATAATGTAACTGATTTTCATTGCTAATGCTAATACTCTCCCTCAAGATGGAGCATAAATATCATGTATGTCTATCTCGACAAGTGAGTTAAATGCTTATCTGGATACAACCTTAGTTAGAACATACTGCTCTAAGGTCTTTACATATGGAACTTCAATTGTCTTATCCTCAAACTTTTCATATAATAACCATCATAGAAAGTCTTTCAAACAAAACATGGCTCTATGACAAATTTTAATTAAAATTAATCTCCTATACATACATCCTATATGTATGAAAATATCTCCTAACAAGGCTAGACTTACATAATGAGGATTCGAATTTCTTACATTTTGTTCAAGTGATCAAGCAAAGTTTGAGGAGGACCTATTGTAAGGGCGTTCAACAATAAGCTTGTAGGTGCAATTCGTGCTCTTAGAATTGACAGTCAATTTATAGTAGGTAATTCGAATAAAATTATTAAATGAGAGAAATATCATACTATAATTATCCATAAGTTAGAAACACTTCAAACCAAAAATGAGTTGGCAAATGAACGAAGTCAACCAATCAATCTCTTGCAAATTAGAGACAATTGTTAGAAAAACTAGGGTATGTTTTAATCTGGATAACTTTAACATATCCACAGTCACTTTTTTTTATGAAGTTTGAAATGTTACACGGAAGTTAAACTACATAAAAATATAAATTTGTTTCACAAATACTTTAAGCCTTGTTTTAAAAGGTTCAACAAGTTGAACACCGCAACGAACCTCGAAATAGGGGGTATTTGTATATAGTGAAGTCTTATTGATGAATAATATTATGTTTTATATTAAATTTTAAATTCATGATTTGCTAACCAAGTCAAAATATTGGTAATATAGTTGGATTAATATTTAAATTAAATTAAATGACTTAAATGAAGTCCAACTTATACTTGGGCCAGTCTGTAAGCTGATATAACGAGCTCAATTCACGTAACTCAAGCCCAAGGTCTTCTAAAGTTATTTGGAGCCCAAAATACCCTGAAACCCTAGTTCATGCCTATATATAAGGCTCTTTATAAGACAAGAAGGACACAGGACACACAGAAAGACAAAGATTCCCTTATCTCCGGTGGAAGCAAGTCTTCATCTCCAAGTGGTGAGCGGACTATAACCTTGTTTGTCTCTAGAATGAATCATTTCAAATAATTCAAAGATATATCTAACATTTTTTCATAAAATGATTCATCTTAAATAACTCACATGTATGTTTAACATTTTTCCTAAAATGAATGATGTGAAATAATTCAATGTTATATTTAACACTTCCTAAATCAAAATTGCTATGTTTTACTTTACTTTCTCTTTCGATCTAATCGGTATGCAAACTTGTTTTATGTATAAGTGATAGGATATTTAGGCATCGGTTGTTTGCAATTAGTAGAGACCTGGATTCGAGTTGTTTAGATATTAGATCATTAAGTGTGTTTAGTTTTTTTACTTAAGAATCTCTTGATGGTCTCAAAGGGTCTGAACAAATCAGATCTGTGATAGGGTCTTATTTTCATTCAGACCCTTTTACAGACACTTTTCTTTGTGGAAAAAATTGTGCTTCATATTTTTTTTCTTCAAAAAACAATTCGATTCTCTCTTATTCTCCAATTTTATTTGTTATCCAAATTATTTTTCTAAAATTTTTAATTTTTGTTATTACGGCGTGTTTATCAAAAAATGATAAAATTTGTAGTAGAATTTTTTTTTTTGACTGAAGTGTAAAACAACTTCATAAATATGTGTTTTTGTCATAAAAGAAAAAGAAGATGGCTACATTGTTTTCTAGCAATTACTTTTATCATTATAAATTTTATATATATATATATATATATATATATATATATAGTTCCATTTTATTTTTATCAATTTTAAAATATGAATTTATAATTTAATTATCTTATCGTTTATCAAAGACCGGCATTTTTTTCCTAATATTTTGTTAATGTAATATTTAACTACTATATTACTTGAATTATAATACTTATTGTATTTACATATTAACAAAAATTATATATTCAGATGTTTAATAACAAACCATCTTAATCATTCAATGTTTAGATTTAGTATCTGAATTTAGATTCAGACATCTTGATCTTAAAGAAAACAAATGATGCCTTTGGTATTTTGAAGATTGAATGCACCTTTTGAGGACTAAGGCATCACATCTGAGAAAGGATTTGACATATAGAATTTTTAGTGATTGAATTGTATTTAGAAATTTTTATTTATTCTATATTTGTATATCATTATCATTATAAGTGTTAGTTTGTTTTCACAACATGGTTTATTTCTTGTGTGTATCCAGATTCCTAAAATGGCGGAAGAAGTGGCAAGCAGAAGATCTTCCGATCGTATCAGCAGCCTTCCAATCAATGCAATTGATGATATTCTTACGCGTTTGCCTCTGCGAGATGCTGTTAGGACCAGTATTTTGTCGAGAAAATGGAGGTATGATTGGGTCAAAATTACAAAGCTTACTCTTGATGAATCACTCTGGAAAGATCTACCGACTCATGAAGTTAGAGTTAAGCTAGGTAGGATTCTCCTTCACCTATTTTCATTTAGGCAAGGACCAATTAGAGAGTGTCGAATCTCCATTCCCAATTCAAAATACTTACCTGAGTTAGACAACTTGATATTTTTCCTGTCAAGGAATGAAATCGAGTCTCTCTTTCTTGAACTTCCTAATGGGGAGAAGTACAAATTGCCCTCTTCTGTTTTCACAAGTCCAAAAATGAGACAGTTGACACTTGAGTATTGTGTAATCAATCTCCCAACTACCTTTCGGGCATTTGGTCAACTTCTCTCTTTACGACTATTTAATGTTTCTATTTCTGAAGAACATCTTGAGATTTTAATATCTCGTTGCTCACTAGTTGAGGACGTAGAGCTGGATATCTCAAACCCTTTGAGCTATATTCAATTTAATGCTCCTAACCTAAAATTCTTGAACATTGGAAGCAAAATAATCTCTATATGTTTCAAGAATACCCCATTACTTGCTGATGTGTCAATTATGGCGGAGAGTCTGAATCATGGTCCCGTGGAATCACTTGATGTAAATCGCGATTTTGTGGAGAGAGGAACATGTGATCTTCGCGAGTTTTTTGGTTCCTTACCTGCTATTAAGAATCTCCGATTGGATCATTTCATAATCAAGGTAAGTTGTACATCTAAAAATTAGTATTTTTCATGTTCATTGACATTCCCTGATATCGTTGTTTGCATTTTGGAAGACGCTGATTGCAGGAATAGATGAAATCCCAACGACGCTTCCCATGCCTCTTCTCAATCTAACAAAGATTTACCTATTCGACCTATGTCTAACTGGACTAGAGGAAATCCGCTTTCTTCTTTGCTTGATTAAAAGCTCCCCAAATTTGGAAGAAATCGTCATTATTATTCAGGTAACTAAATTTTTTCATTTTCCTTTTCCTCTCGCCCCTGACGTTTTAGTTTATTCATTTTCCTCAGGCAATTAATAACGAACGAGGAGATGATCGTACTTCTCTTGAACTTTTGAAAGCTGAGTATGATTCAGGCATAAAGTTGAATCGGCTTACCAATGTCAGCTTGATAGATATTAGGGGCACGAAGACTGAAATGAAATTTATCAAGCTTCTGTTGGCCAAATCTCCGGTGTTGGAAAAGATGATGATCTCGCCATTCTACATTGGGCCTGAATCTCCTCAAACATTAGTTGAGATACTGATGCAGATCAACACATTTCAAAGGGCATCACTTCGAGCAATAGTCAATTTTAATTTTTAATGCAAGTTACAAATTGATTTTCTTCTGAAAAATGTGTTGTGTTGTTTGGGGGTGGAAAAGACATCATCGATATGGAATGTCACTTGTGGAACTAATTTTCCCCACCTCAACAAGTGAAGTCCTTTTTCTCATATTATCATTTGAAGAAACTTGTTTGTTTTTTTTATAAATATTTTGATCAATCGAATATGGGATGATTAAAAATGTTTTCCTCCGTACTATTGAACCATTCTATAAAGTTATTGAGTTTTTCTTTCTTGAAGCTACTGCATGATTATCTTTTCAAAGTTTACAAGAGGTTGCACATGAACAATTTGTGTTAATTGTTCCTTGTCGATGATAATAAGAACAAACAAATATATATATATATATATATATATATATCAATCAAATATATGTGTTAAGATTTAAATTGTAAATAGTATTTGTATGGTCAATTTATTTAGGTTTTTGCAAAAATATTTTTTTTATCTAAACTAAGATTCTTGAACTTCGAAAATAAAATAATTTCTATATATTTCAATATAAATTCTACATCATAACCCTAGTTTGATAATGAAGAGAAATTCATAGGGTTTGAAAAACTTATGTAACATAAAAAAATAACAACAATGTTTCCACGTGAAGGGATAGTCTTACATACCTTAGTCTCTTTCAAAACACAAATAAAGATCCTAACTTTGATGAAGAACATTCAAGAATTTTGTGTTTGAGTCTTTGAAAAGGATTGCTTCGAAGACCTTATGATCGTAGAGTAGAATCATGTTTGAGAATTTGCATATTGATATTTAAAACACTAGGAAATTCTTAGAATTATATCAGAGGACGTAGAGGTGATGACAAGAATGTTGGGTTTTATTTGCCCTGATTTCTTACCATAAATAGGTTTTCCTTTTAGGAAAAATTTTTGAATTGACCATTC